AATTATAAAATCACTAAAATCTCCACAAAACTCCTTCTACTTTCATAATCATCAGTCTATTACAAGTAATTACATAAAATATGTTTACAAATCAGATTTGAAATCTTTTTAAAAATATTATCATTATAATTTTAACTGAAGGTTGATACTATTTGATTTTCTTTAAAAGAAAAACAATTCCTATCCAGTTGCATAAATAAAAACAAATTCAATGTTTTTGGATGACGTATTTACTTAGATTATTCATATCCTTACTTTCAATACTTTCATTCATTTAATAAATTTAAACATATAATGAAAAAATTTTATTTGCATAGTTGAAAGCATGAGTCAATTGAAGCTAAACCACCAGGGAAAAACCTGGAAGCACTGGACGGCCGTTTCGTCCTATTGTAGGACTCCTCAGCAGAGCGCATTCACGATCCCGCCACGCGAGATTTGAACACAAGACCTATCTGTCTCACGCCAGAGCACTTAACCGATAGACCACTGAGCTGACCGGTATTCAACGGTGTTAATGTCTAACTTCAACCAATCCACTAAGTTGAGCAACTGTTTACCAATTGTCTGCAGTGAGTTCCTATCTCACAACAGACGTGGTTTGAACTCTACTGGTCACTGCTTCTCACTAGAACTCCAGGAAATATCTCTTGAAGTCAGTCAATAGTTAGCATATGATTATAATCAGAATGGGTTTCGGTGAAACTATAATTTATGGACGACCTTCGAACGAATCTTAAGTGAACTTGAGAAATATTAGCCAATCAGTAAACAGTCAGAATAAAGTAAAAATATATTATGCAAAACCAAATAATTAAAGTGGGTACACTTCTTTTATATGGTTCAAAAACTTGTCAATGATAGAAAAAGGTACAAAGGTCCCAAAATCGTAATGCATAAGGTAGAGGAACTCATTCATATGGCTTCTTAATAGTTGATCTCTAGGACCACGATAAGGTTATAAAAACCCTCTCAGTTTCGATTACATAGCTTCATTATTGTTTGTATGTACTCCGGTTGTATAAATTTATCATTTTTATTATGGATATGTCCCTACAATATTCATACAACTGAACAGCCGAAGCTTCAGTAGCATCTGCTATTATTGCAGCCAATTTCACTGGTGCTTTTATTATACAGTTTCGGCAATTATTATAATAAGCCTTAGTCTCGATCCGGATCGTGCAATAAAGGTTCTTATGCTAGCAAACGTCTTCCTTCAACATATATTACATCGAAGGACAATATCACGTTAGTCTGCACAAGGTCTACAACTCATTTAATACCCTCAATCACAAATACAGGAACTTCTTAGTAGTTTCATTTGCTGTAGCTGCTTAATTGTCAAGTCTTCTCTAAACTTCTCTGTGAACCGATCGTATATGAGCATTAGGTGCTGAGCTACGTGCCGTGACTTTGAAATCCCTCATGCGCTTCTGATTGGCTCGTCCATAAATTAGAGTCTCGCCGGGACTTCAGTGATGCTATGGCGCTAGACTGGTAGATCCTGGGCTCGAATCTCGCGAAACGAGGTCTGCTGTGGAGTCCTAAAATAGGACGAAACGGCCGGTTTAGCTTCAATTGACTCATGTTTTCAACTATGCAAACACTAAATCTCCACAAAAGCCCCTACAGAAAACTTTTACTGTTTTTTTCCATTTATTTAATCTAATTATTTGAACACATCGGAGGGGGGTTTTGTGGATATTTTAGTAATTTTTATAGAGTTGAGTTCATGAACCAATTGAAGCTAGACTACCATGGAAAACCTGGAAGCACTGCATGACGGCCGTTTCGTCCGATTTGTACCTATCACCAATTTTTTTGTGATTCATGGTTGATTAGTTTATTATTTTATAAAAATAATATTTTATCACTAACTAAATTTTCAAGGAAATAAGCTAGGACCAGAATGCCAAGCGAAACGTTGGATTTACTTCAAATTTATTAGCCGAGATTTTACAAATATATTATTTCTATTTAATGTCTTACATCAACTCGGTGCCAAAACACTGTGAATCTATTCTCTCTTATTTAGACGGAAGTTCTTATATATAGTTTTAACTAATGAAACATTGAACACTAAAGAGGATTGAACAGTTATTTCAACTTTATAGTAAAGATCATGAGTTAATTGAAGCTAGACCACCGTGGAAAACCTGGGAGCATTGCACTATAAAATTACTAAATGTCCACAAAAACCCCCTTGTGATAGTTATTTTAACTGTTGAACACTATGTATACAAAGAAGTCCAGAAGAGAGTTTAAGGATTTTGTATAATACAGTAACAGTAATACACAGCCACAATGTTATCAATGTTAAATAAAACAAAACAAAAATAGAAAGTTAAAGGGTTAAAACAGTTAAAATATAATTTTCAAGGGTTCATATCTATTCTTGTCGGTGGAGTTCAGGAATAAATCTGAATATTCTATGTCAGTATATAAGCTCCATGAACGGATGGCTAAAAACTGTTCGCAGGTGTAAGATTATTAAATTTCCAGATTGTGGCTGTTTAAATGTAATCAACTAGAGTTTTAGTGTCAACATTAACACCACAATAATGATACATCTATTGTACAAGTTACAAATGGAATAAAACGAATGTTTTGAATTCAAGTACTAGCTACACTCTGAGAAGAAAAGTAAATAATGATAGTTATACTATGAATTACATTTCTACCAATTAAAAATGACGTAAGTTTCGATTGTACAGACGGAAAGAAATTACGCATTAATTAGGTACTAGTAACCGACATAATGATGGTCAGCTTCTTAGTCTTAATCAAAGTATAAACGACTAAGGAAATTGTCAGGAGCCCTAAAAGTCACATGCAGTTTAAAAAAACTTAATGGTAGCGTTTTGACTTTGACTGCTGGTAAAGCATGCTCACATTTCCTCAAAATCATAAATATACCTTATAGATGTGAACTAGCGTTCAAATTTTCTAGCAAGTTGTATTTAACCACCTAATACTAAGATAATTCCTTTATGATCAGCAAAGAGAAAAGTGTGATACAATAAAAAGTAAACTTTAATGTTAATGAAACCATGCAAATGATGGATTTAAAAATTGGGTATATTTTATGCACCTCCATTCTTACTTCACCTCTCTCATAGCTTATACTCATTGTACTAGTATGTCATGTATCTATCAATTGAGATTTTTTTAACACTCCTTAGTTTAATATTCAGACATATCATGAATGATATAGTGAAAATTCCTATTTTTATTATAATAAACAAAGTGTATTTATGATTTCAATTACCTATCACACAACTGAACATCATCCGTCTTGACTGAGCAAAGGACAGATGATAGTGATCTAAAGCTATATTCTTGCTCAGTTGATGGAAACTATGCCTTTCACGACTTGAATAAAACTCTTAAGCTTGTCCAAAATATCCTATCAACTTTACCACATGGTTTACGAGTTTGTTATATATTGCCAAAGCTGTTAGAATTCATGTTCACAAACCTAACTTTCGCATCTAAAAGAATTTCTTACAATCACTCTCACTACTTTGACCATCGGTATAGGAGTTTGATCTGAACTTTGATTAAACCTTTTCTTTCAAGATATTCAGAAAGTTTTTAACTTCCTGCACTTTTGTATTTTAACATATTCCTGACGTCCGTCTCTTGGTTCTTACATAACTACTAACCTTTCGTCAAACTATTTTGTTAGTTTTTTTCATTTGTTATGCTATGCAGTCATTGGTTAAGTTTCCGAATAATTACCTTGATAATTGTAGTCTTGTTTCTTTCATTCATTCAGTATTATTTTATAATCGTAGTGTCATTATGTAATTAATACGCAACGCAACTACTTGATGAGTATTACTATAGAGAGAGAGGGGGAGGGATATAAAGAGTCATGACAAAAGATTAATTGAAAAGAAATTTCTCCGTTCTAACCATTCATTTTAAGTAAAATATGGGATTGTCTTGACTTAATCACCACTGTGTATTTATTATTCCTAATGTTTTTGCTATATATAATCCGAAGAAATACTTTGGTATATAGGTGCATGGACACGAATTAATTAAGTAAGGGACATTATGTTTGCATAATTTCATCGTTAAAAGTTTTAAATTAACACAACAGGATGAACGATTTGCAAAAGTGTCCATGTAGTAGTAGCTGACAACCCTACTGCATTAAAATAACGTAGAGAGCGTCGATTAGGCCTAATTGAACGATGAAATGCCTTTCGTTCTATTAATAGCAATGTTTTATCCAGACTGAGTTTATATTTTGAAGTATAAATTACCCTTTGAAAATGTTTTAAGATATCATCATATTTATGATTCATGATTCGATTTTGATCTGGTTGATGGTACTTTCGTTTGCACGCTTAACAAATGCTTTACTACTTCTTTTTTTCCGTAAAGTCATCATGATTTTAATAAATAGTGAGAAGGAAATACATGTGACCAACACTCTAAAACTACTGACTTTGTAAAGGTTCAGCGTTAGTGCTATCTTTTCCAGTCCTGGCTTAAAAAACTGACTGGGGGCCTTTGTTAGAGCACAGTGGCATATATTAATATACTGTACGTATAGTAAGTTAAATAGATTCACGAACTTTTAACTTCGTTTATATTAAAATCTACCTATTAACTGTGACTTGGAGGTGTTTAAAAGTACACAATGAACTTATATTTCATGCTGTTAGCAATTTTTTTGTTAGGTGTGCAATTAACTTTGGGGGAACTAGTGCTTTATCGTAGGTTTATTCTGATTTGATCCAGATTCACAGTAAGATAAGTTGCCAACGAGCTACCCGTTCCACGACTGTTTGTTGTCTCCGACGACCATTCTGTTTCTCGACGTAATGTCTGAGATTTTGGGCCACTTAGGTCAGTGACAACATACTAAATAAATACCAGATAGCTTAGGCTAAATTCTGGTTAATGGAGAACTGAAATTCAGTAAAAATTAGTAGCATAAGATGACATAAAAATTAAAATTATGATAAAAAGACATATATTACTTGGCCCATCTTGTATAAACCCATTCTTTGGATGTAGAATCCGAACCATCATCACCCGAAAAGTCTATACCAACAATATTTCCTTGAGTATCACGAGAATGACTAGCCTTCCTTTCTGAAAGAAACATACTGCCGTCTTATGACGGGTAGCTGTCTTTGATTGTTGTACGATATGAGAAAACTTAGTTTGTTATCTGAGTACGCAGTAACAGCGTAATAAAAAAAATAGTTGCGGAACTCAAGGACAATGTGCATTCATAGTTCAATTTAGAGGGTACTTGACAAGTAAGGAACTCCAGACTTAGTCTAAACTGGGCTTTAAATAAAAGTCACTTTTCACTATATTCTAGATGAAAATTTTAAAAATATAAAAATACTAGTTTCCACCAGATAGCTTCAAGATGCTACTCTTAAGCAAACCGGTCTGTGAAGCCGGTTGTTGCTTCTGATGAAGAGACACACACAGAAGCATGTAAAAACTACTGAGACCCAAAAACTGTTTGAGTGTTTGTTTTTTGTACCTGTGCTCTTCATATTTTGGCTCCATACTCAAAAGCACAGAGACGTCACGGATACCCAGGGCATGAAAACGTTATTGTCAGTAATAAGCTTGTGATCCAGGATTCCAAGTGAAATCGGATCATGAGTCAAGAATGTGGAATTTTCAAGAAGTATTTGAATCATAGTCAGTATGTCAAGAACTGTGTAATCTGAACTGGCTAGCTGTTGTGAGAGATGCGTTGCAGAGCATACTAAATGGTGTTCTAGTGCAGACGCATTGCCGACTGATAAGGTTGTAGAGGTAAATGAGTCCCCAAAATCAATAGCTCTGTGAGTTCTCGACATTGGGTGCTGACCACATTAGTCTGAATGGACTCACCTAGCTGAAGGTGCTCGATCACGCATTCATACCAGATCACGAGTAGGAAAGCTATGCTCAACTCCTGCAACATCTGGCCGGTTCAAATCAGTCACTTCTCGATATACTGACGGCCTATCAAATATATACTCGAACCTCCCCTCTTCTGACTTCTGATGTCATTGAGTGGGCTCATTCCGATTACAGAAGGTGTTACCACTTTAGGTGTTGTCAATCTCCAAATACTTGTGGCATCTTCAAGGTTAGCACCGATACGAAACGACTATTTATATTTGGGATTTATTAACCTCTGTGCTCCGAGCTTGTTAATTCAATGGAGTTTAATGTGTTATTGTTTCTATGTTTTATGATTCATTTATCACTATGACAAACATTCTATCGTAATTGGTATTATCATATTTATATAAGTTTATTTTTTAAATTTGGGGTCACACCCATCAACAAAAAGAATAATCACGGAATAAGGGATCGATACCAGAGAATCAACAAAAAATATCCCAAACAAGATGGGGTCAGATATCTGCCTGCAAGGATTACAGCAACGTTTTCAAGCAGATAGTTAAAAATTAACAATCATACAATGAATCACTTCAAACACGACTTATTGTCAATGGTCAAGCAATATGCAACAGTAGAATTAAGCAGTAAGAGATAAGTTTTCAAACAAGGACAAATGACAAAGGCTGAGATAAGAAAGACTGAAGATTATAAAGTGTGTTCAAGAGAGATTTAATCACTGTCAAAATTAAAGATAGGGAGAAGAAACATGTAAATGACAATACTACCCAACAAAATGTTCCGAAGGGATTTTTAACGTATTCGTTCTGATACACTTGTCCCACTATTTTTTTCCACACAGATTGAGAAGCTGGCGTTTCGTTTCTTTATGATCGTCGACTTGCTTTTTTGTATGGTATCTTCATGTTCGGTTGTTTAACGCGTTTCCGAAAATCCCTTGATACTTTTCCCTATCATTACTATAACCAGTTACCATAGTAGTATCATCAACACATTCAGTCTTCAAAACTTTCTAGACCCAATCAGATCCGCCTAAGACTGTTAGTTCTTTGATTGGTTTGTCTGTTGAGTAGTAGAACGTCTGACACTAACCGGATTGGTTCAGATGGATCTCGAATAATCAAGACCTAACAGCCGATTTTTACCATGTTGAATCATACCATAAGCCATATTCCTTAGTGTAATTAGCCAGTTTAAGAGATTTGGGTTATTCTGCCTCTGCAAATAAACGTATACGTCTTTCGTCCCAAAAGTCTTCTGTATATTTGCCCTTCTATATTTTTGTTAGAAGATGCAGAGTTAGCAGTGCTTTCCTATCCCAACGTATCCATAGTACAATCATGTCCCTATTATATATTACTAACATGAGAAATCACGTATGGTTGGATATATTGAGGTATCACAAATGTAGTTTCAATTAAATCTCAGGGAGATTTCTGAAATGTCTGAAGTGCTTGACTTGTATATAGCCTGAGCAATTTTAAATTCAGTGGGAAATCGCCTCTATGGATGAATGACTTTAAAGCTGAACAAAAGAAGATTACAAATCGATTCTAAGTTATCTAGTTGATGAGATTCAGTGCTTGATCTCAAGGGATAGTTCTGGTATTAACGATATTGTTTTGCTCGAAAATGATAGTTCTAGTTCGCTGTTGACAATAGAGACCGATGCGAAACGAAGTGGATTTTTTGTGAAACTTCAGAAAGACATGTTGAGATGGACAGGATGACCCTTCACTTGTAATTTTCCGACGTATCCCTCAAACTGCATTTCTATACGTACTACTCAACAAAAGCAGATATATGTAGTGAATAGTAGTGAGTTACCTCCTGTTGTGACACAAAACAATCCGAGATTGATTTTCATCCTACACCTGAAAATTATTGAATACTGCGATATCTATTAAAAGTAGAACGCCCATGGGTTTCAGCCACTACGACACCAAAATAATGATAACCATGCATACTATTCATACGCATATCCCTCAATATTTGAACAAATAGTTCGATGCCAAGTATATAAATGAGATTGTGTGAAGATTGTATCTCAAATGCCCTCAGGGGCTGATCTTTTAATAATTTAAACGTTACGTTTTGCAAACTTATCTGGACATTTTTGGGGGTAAGGATCAATATTTAAATTATGAGTAAAACGTACATCGTTTCACAATCAAATAAAAACACGTGCAGATGTTGGACTTAGTAAGTAGGATGACGATTCAGCAATATTTGAATAATATGATAAGTGTACAATAAGACTGCGAATAAATGTTTGAGAATTTATAATTCTATGCACTAACATTTGATATTTGGTAAATTGCAGACACGTTCTCTGGAGAAAACGTTGAATCTGTTTGAAATTTTGTATTATTTCAAATGTCGTTTTCCCAAATTATATATACAATATTCATATGAATGAAATTCCAACGGTGAATACAATTAACCTGACAGTTTTTGGGCAGATAAAAATTGTTAATAACTCGAACTCTTAAAGCTGAATGCTCATACACAATAAGAAAGGAGGTCAAACTAAGTCTATTACCCTAGTAAAACATAAAGTCTGAGGGTGACCTAATCACAGTTTTAATTTATTAGGTCACATGAGTGCGTATAAAAAATTATAGTTCACTCCAACTAACAGGAACAGAATTTCTGAAGACACTCCAAAATCTTATAAACTCAGAACCAGTTACTTGCCTCTTGACTACTGACTTTCCTGTCATGTAACCAATGAACAGAACTGTTTACTCTAACAGATCGTTAAATATAGTAAGAGACTTCTCTTATGTCGATCAACACGGGCCATCCAGCATTCTGTTACTCTGAAAATGAATCACGTTTCTTAAATATTTATGAAATGACGTAAAAAGGAATCCTACACCCACCAAAAAGGTCGAAAAGCCGAAGTCTGGTCACAGCGACAGATCAGTCATTTTCCATAGAGTCAAGGAAAGTGTGAGCTCAGGGCTAAAAGCTCTTTTTGAGCACGACATTGTGTTGATAAAACAACTACTCAACCAAGTTATGCCCCAAAACATCTCCGTAGTCACCTTGCTAAAGGTGTGTAGACTAGGAAACCTGGCGCATCTGAAGCCTAATCAGTCTAGACTGCTCAAAGTAGTTGTCAAATCCCCAAACGAACGCAACTTAATCTTAGAAAATGAACACAAACTAAAGGGTTCAGGAGTTTTTCTCCGTAAGGACTTACCGTTGGCGGACCGTGTAAAAAGACGGGAAGCCGAAAAAGAACTACAGCTCAGATTAGACGAAAAAGACCGGAAAGTTGTAAATTTTCGGGTTTTGAGGCTTCGACAGAGGATGATGCCTTAGCCACTCTAGGTGAAGCATGAGGCCGCTTAAATAGGCTTCGGATCTGTTATACCAATGCCCGGAGCTTACTCAATAAACGATTAGAACTAGGTGTACAGATTGACTCAACTAGGCTAAACATAATCGCGGTCACAGAAACATGGCTGACGCCGTCTATAGATAGTAGGGAACTTGATTTCGAGGGTTTTACATTAGGAAGGGCCGATAGAATACAAACGTGTAAAGGTGGGGGAGTAGCTCTATTCATTAGGAATGCTATCCCATTCACCATTATCGACAGTATATCCCATGAGAGTGGGACGTGTGAATTAGTTAGGTGCCGCTTGAAATGCAAGGGACAAGAGCTGCTGCTTGGTTTGATCTATCGCAGTCGAAGCTATGAGGTAAACGAGGTCCTACTAAACAGTCTCAATACTTTATCACGAAGTGATCGATGTCTAATCCTAGGGAACGTTAATACACCTATGGTGAACTGGAGAAACCTGCGGACTGAATCATCAGCAAATTCCTTCGAACAGGAACTAGTTGATGCGGTAATCACATGTGCCCAGGTGCAACACGTGAAGGAAGCAACTAGGTACGACCCGGGTTCTGCATCATCCCTACTAGATCTTATATTGAATCACTATGAGGATGATGTTGCAAACCTGGATTACATGCCACACATAGGCAAAAGTGATCATGTAGTTTTAAGCTTTGACTTCCATATAACTGTCGATCACGAGCACGCCTCAGCTCAATCCAGACCTAACGTCTGGAAAGTGAACATACCAGACATCATGAAATCAGCATCATCAGTAGATTGGAAAATAGACCCAGAGTCATCGATCGAAACGGCCTGGGACGTATTCCGGAATTTATACTTAAAAGTTACCGCCCCCACATCCCTTGGACTACATCGAGGGGGCCGAGAAACTCCCCACCGTGGTTCAGTAGGGAGGTTAGCATCCTTCTCCGTAAAAGAAGGAAAATGTGTGATAGATTTAGGTTACTGGGGACTGACGAGGCAAAATCTCAGTATCAAAAAGCTCGAAATACCTGTGCCTCGACCCTCCGTAAGGCCAGAAAGCTGTACGAAGAGAAAATCGTTAGGGAATCCATAGAATGCCCTAAACGATTGTATTCGTATATAAACCAAAGGACAAAAAGAAGAAGAAATGTTCCTTCACTATGGGGAGACAGTACTGCCAAATCACTAGTGGAGGACGACCTTGGCAAAGCTCAAGTATTCTCAAAATACTTTAGCAATGTATACACTATAGAAACACCCTTCTCACCAGTCCATGAAAATCCCCCCACACAAACACTGGACAGCGTGACCATTAAAGAACTCAATGTCTTTGGTCTGCTAGTTAAGCTTGACAGGTAAATCCACGGGACCCGATGAACTGCATCCTAGGTTACTAAGCTTAGGAATGTCGGGATTGGAGGCAATCTATTGATGTGGATAAAAGACTTCCTAGTTGGGCGTCAACAAAGAGTAAGGGTGAACTCCAAGTTGTCTAGCTGGGAAACTGTGCTTAGTGGAGTCCCCCAGAGTACAGTTTGGGGCCAGTGTTATTCCTCCTGTATTTAAATGACCTCCCTCGTCTACTATCGTCATCGGTCTTACTCTATGCTGACGATGTCAAGATATGGAGAGCGATACAAAGCAAGGGCGATAGCTTAGAATTCCAAAATAACCTGAAGAGATTATCTGAATGGTCCCAAACCTGGCAATTGCCGATAAATACTTCCAAGTGTATTGTGACGCATATTGGCCACCAGGGTACAGATACATACACGATAAATAACACTGAGCTACCTATTGTCCAGACACATAATGACTTAGGAGTCATCGTTAGTCAGGACTAGCAAACTACTGCACACTGCCGTGCAATAGCTACCAAATGTTTTAGAAATTTATGGTCCATACGCAGGGCTTTTAGGCATTTTGACGCTAAAACGTTTCTGACTTTGTATACAGTGTTTGTGCGTCATTAACTTGAGTACTGCATACAATCAGCTAGCCCCTGCCTAAAAAAGACAGTGGACTCTTGGAGAGGGTTCAGAGAACGGAAACTAAGGTGATTCCCCGAATAGCGAAGCTCCTGTATAGTACTAGACTGACCAAGCTAAACGTATTCCCGCTGTCATATAGAAAAATCAGAGGCGACTTGATTACAGTCTTCAAATTGCTTAATGACAAATTTGCACCTGATATGTTCTCATTTTTCTTGTCTTCCAAAACAGAAAATCTACGAGGACACTCCAAAGAAGTTCGCAAGCCCAGGACGAATTACTTGTCAGCTGACTACCGACTTTCCCATCGAATAATCAACGAGTGGAATTCATTACCTCGGCACGTGATTGAGACTCCGTTCGTCAACTCCTTCAAAAGAAAGTTGGATCAGCTGAGAGAACATCATTGTCAGGACTAACACAAGCCATCAAGCCTCCTGTCCTTTTCAAACTGAAACTGAAAATATTATTGTAGTAGAGAAGTCAAGACTTCATGCTGTGAAATAAATGGCGTCTAATGGTAATCATGAGAATTTTTCTGTCACTAAGACAATTTTAAAGAAACAATCTGATGTCTGTTAGTCTATAACAAACACATATTGGATACTGAATAGCCTTCACTTTCAGTGCAAAGTTGAAAATTTTTGTCTAGTGCAATGAAATGACGCGTTATGCACTTCAGTAAAGTTAATGGCAATGAATCTCATCATAAAATGCCCGCAAAATCCATTTTTCACAATCATGACGTTGTAAAAGGATCTAGTACAGACGTTGCTCCTTTGGAACATCTTTTTGTAACTAAATTTTCAAAGTTGACTATTGATGATGAATATAAGTATAATTTAGCTTATTTAGTTACTGAAAATAATGGAACAATTCCAGCCGTTAAGAGTTCTCAGACTGAAAATCAGCGATCAGTGACATCGAATACAAAACCTTTTAACCGCATTCATGTTGATTCTATTCAACGTAAATCTGAACCAGTTATTCATACAGATCACAGAGGTTTCCACCGATCATGTAGATACAGAAGACAAAAACCATTGCGTGGGAAGGTTGCAGCCCGTCGTAGTTCTCCTGTCTATATTAGTAGTCCTGAATCTTATGAACATATGTCATCAGACTTTGATGATCGAAGAGAATTCGACCATAGTTCATTCGCAAAACATCTGTCAAAAGTACATGATAATAATGGAATTAACCAAAGTCATTTTTTTGAACATAAGAAAGCTCCCGTGCTGAATAATGCACCTTTAGATACCATTTCTTCCAAATTAAATTGTTGTGCCTTAAAATGCCCAACAAGTTTAAATATCGATTCACCCTTATGTGAATTAAAGAACAATTTAAAAGTCCAAAAGCCAGATCCAAACACAAATAACATTGTGTCACGTCGTGAAACTTTTCGAACAATTGAAAAAACACGTCGACAAGCAAACAATCGTGTGGAATCCATGAAAATAGAAGTAAATGCCCCGGATCCATTGATGAGAGATGATTTTTGCTCTCATGATGTTGCATCTAGAGTAAAAGCCTTCAAAGCACTCATGAAATCAGAAGAATTAGAAAGCATTGATCAAAATAGTGAAACAAAGTCAATCAAAAAGGTCACAGATGAACGAAAAATACCTAATGTGAGTTTTGTCTTTGGTATCCATCATGATAGTAAGCCGAGTTCTTGTTCTTACGTAGCCGTTTTTAACCTTAAAAACTAATTTATAATGACTCTTTATTCCTAATATTCATTTTTTGTAAGTAATGGTGCATGATTTATGGAAGGGAATGAACCCTTAAAAACAACGCTGTGTAGTATGTAAAGATTTGTCAGTGAATGCCTATGAAACCACCATCAGACCTAATAAATTCACTACGTGAGAAACAGTAAATTCAGACGCGGATTAATGAAAACTTAAAAAATGTACAGCTATGCCTAGGATGCGATTAAGTTTTAACAACTCAGAGTACCCAGAGCAAGACATAAAATCATTTTAAAACTCACTGATGGCTGAACGGAGTCATATAAAAGAGTCTAGCCCTACCAGTTAAGAAACGTGTTGACTTTTGTGTTAGGTACGGTCAATGGGTGCTTGATTACTAAATGACGTTGGCTAGTGTATGATTGAAGATAAACATTTTACAAGGTGAGAGACAGATAAAAACCAGCATTGTTGGGAAAGTCAGTAGGATTAAATGGAATCAAGCAAACCAATTACTCAAACCAATACTTAACAGACAGCAATAAAATCTATGAATTTCGACTCAAAATAGAATGAATCAAATTATTTATAGAGGTACTAATCCACTGACTATTAGTCAGTCTACTCGGATATTTATTTTGAAATATACCAAGTTTTGGTGAGTAAACCACGTTGATCTTGTGATATTCACCGTTTTCGTTTTCCTGGTTTTTCTGCCTTCTCTGATATGTTTAGTTAAAATTGTGATCACTCGTTTCAGGATCCATGTTGCGTGTAGTTTTTCCATTTTATGGGGGGAAGGATTTTAGAAAATTGGAAGCGAAATACTGATTATTTTGTGCTATACTACCTCTCATTTAATCTAGATATGTAAGTAGCCGACTGGATAAATTTAGGAGAACATTACCAATGGTTTGACGACTAATGATGATTGATAACTAATTAACATAAGCTGAGTTTTTCTCACTCGAATTATGAAGCTTTTGCGCATTTTACTCGTACTCATTATTTCTCGCTTGCAGGTCAGTGCATTACCCAGTTGAAATTTTATTTTAATAATCTATAAAAATACAATTTTTCTCGCTAAATTGAGGTCTTCAACTTTATCAAAAGTACCTTGTCTTATAAAATATCATCAAGTAGCTACTGGTGACTGATTCAGGGGGAGGGTAATTTTTGGAATTCAGTTGAGAGGCAGTGACCGGTAAAGTTCAATCAGTTAGGCATGAAACAAGAAGGACTAACTTTGATGAAGGACGATTTTGATTTGTTACATTACTATTGTTGGGAACATTTTTTGTCACTAGTGTTATAATTTCTTCTCACTAGACTGTTTGTAAATTTTGAATAATTAAACATTATGTAGTCAGATAATTAGTCTTTTCCGTCGCCGTTTTGGTAATTAGTTACACCATTTATTTGTTAGGTTATTCTTCCGCGCCCATTTAGTTTTGTTCCTTACTATTTATATCAGTCACTCATTCAACCAGCTACAGCGTAGAACCAGTCACACATATACATCCGTCAAAGTTGCCATACCTCATTAGCATAACAGAATGAACACCAAATTCATAGGAGCAGTTATTTCAATGTTGGAAATATATGTAAATAAAAATTGCATATAAAAATGTAATACATGAAGGAAGAATTTGTTTGTAGAAAGAAAGGTATAAAGTAATTTTAACCTCGCGGTTTAAGGAAGGACAAAGAGTGTGTACAACGACGCCATTGAGATCAATTCTGAGCTGTGTCATCAAGTCTCCAACTCTTGGTTACAATAGTCATGCGGACCTCAACCAAGTATTCTTCATCTGTTAACATGCCTACAAGATAAATTATTTACTTTATGTATTGATGCCACGTTTTGATTTGGTCACCCCTTAACTTTCTTACAACTGTCTCCAACATCAGTCACCATTGCGCAACCTGATAATCGACGGTCGGGCATGCTTAATAGGTGACATGACCATCTCAATCAATGCAGAATCACAACTTCTTCAACTAATTTACCATCAAACTAACTTCTTGAATTCATGCAGAGATTTTGTCAAACACTAACCCAATAGGGCTGATTAGACGCATTCCAGACATCCTGGCATTGTTGTTCAATGCTACCAAAACAATCTGCATTTTATCAGCGTCTTCACCAAACAGGACAGTGTCATCTGCACATCCTAAGTCAATAAGTGGACCTACTGGTAGAAAACCTATTACCAAAAATGCAGACGACGAGAACGTTATTTCCAGTAGTAGGTCGTCTATGGTGAGGTCTGACCTCAGTTGTTCTTGATATCTACTTTTGGCTTTATCGTCACTCAGTTCAACTCTAATGGGTCTTCTTCACGTGACCTTTCTGAATTTAGTGAGGTGCGAACAAATGCGTGCTCGTATTGGAGAGAGACCAGAGTCTAAACATGTACTCTAGAACGAGTGACAGTCTTCTAACGAGCCTCTCCAAATTTGACAGATGATAATATGGTCTTTTTGAGTCCATCGTTGGTATGGTGCAGAGGGTCGTCATTTTAGATGACGTCAAGTTTAGGCTTAAAATTAGTGTTCATCAAAAATAAACGATTATATGAACAGAGTCGCTGCAGACGGTCACCATTATTTGTTCGCTGAGCCCTAATACTAAAATACCTACCTAAATTTCTTTTTCTTTGCTTTAATTTACATACTTGGTCAATAAAGTTACTTGCTACGAGTACTATGTTTGAGTGTTTAGCTGAGCAAGCCAGACCACCATGTCAAGGTAGCAGCGATGGTCAGGTTACTATTTATATACTTTAGACGATTATTCAAACACTTCTTATTACGGAATTTTTAGCGTTTAATGTTTCAGTGAGTTTACTTTCTCAAGTTTTGACCTTCCTGGAGTATTTAGACATTTATTCAAGCAATAGTTATTCTTTTCACTACGTGTAAACATATTATTATACTAATAGGTGATAATTTCACTTACTATGCTTACCTTTAAGTGCTGCATATATTTTGGTGGACCTTTGCCCTCTGAGCTGGATGGTAGACATTTGTCCTGATGATGTTGTTCAGAAGAACAATGAAAGCTCCACAATCAAACCATCCAGCTCAGAGAAAATCATCACACTTAAATCATCCACCTGGGCTACAATTCATCTCCACCATCCCAAAATACTGCGAAAAATTTCATCGAGAGTTTGTATGCTATACGTGTCGTGGACATAGCAGAACCAAGTGATATTTATCCATGTACGCTAGTACGTGACCTAATAGACTAACATCCTCACTGTTTTTCATAATGGTCTGAGACGCAGAATTGTAAAAATTTTTGGTATCGAAACAGCCTGTGCAACCAGAGTGCAACGCTAATATTGGATATCTATTATTCAGTTTTTTTACTTCATAGATCTTGGTTAGTATGTTTCCAGCCTTATTACTGGAAAAAGTATAGTTGTTTGAACAATGTGTCATATGAAACATTCATAAAAAGTAGTTTATTTAGAGTGTAGGTCACGTTTCAAACTTCAATTACACGTTCAGTCAGTCAATCAGCTAATTATTCATCCAGAATACACACACACAAACACTGATCGGTTTAAGTTACCATGCTACATCCGGTGAGCCATAGGAAGATATCAAGATAAATGCTAGAGTAGTAGAAGCAGCTGCGGTACTAGTGGTAATTAAAAAAAATTAAGCAGACAATATGGGTCGAGAAGAAGTACTTAATTTGTCTAATGAAAAGTAAAGGGCAATTTCGAGACCTAAGATCTAATGGATAACAAGTGAATGGGGCTGTGCCATTGCAACCGACTACGTAACATTTTACTCAACATCTGCAACTGATGATGAAGACAATCATACTTGTTTAGAGATTAGTTATGGTTCCAACTTTGATTTTACTGCTATTTTTAGGAAGTCCGTTGAGCTATATTTTATTGTTACATTAGCAATAATCTAGGAATTTACAGTTCAGCATTATCAATAGCCGTTAAGAGTAATTTAATTCATTCACATTCTATGATTATACACTGAGTAATTGTCAGATTAAGATAGTTATACAACAAATGAGTAATTGAAACGAATATTCTAATAATGTTATTGAACTCTGACAAGTATTTTAAAGTTGATATAAGATTAAATGTTCTTAGACAATAATTTTAGTTATCTTGCTTCTCATCGCACTACTAAAGGTACCATATCAGGAAAATCATATTGGTCTTCGTCGGTCCAAAACGTTTTCTGGTGAACAGATGTCAAGAAGATATCAAGTATGGTTTCGATAACAGCTATTCTTTTTATAAAATCGTTTTTAGCATTTGTCATTTTATTTTATGTCGCCTAAAAATTTAACTTTGAAGCTCAATAGGCAGCTAAATCACTAATAACAATAACACCATATGACAATAGGCAGTGGTCATATAATATTCGACATTGTTCGGAAGTGAAAATCACTAGCCACCGGAGTCCTATCAACCATTTTTGTATTGAGGTCTGTTAGTTGTAGGTACAACATTATTAATGGTCTTGGGTGATCTCATTATAGAAATATTAAAGGAAAGTTAGAAAGCAGTAGGTTGGCTTAAGTTTTAAACGAGATGGTTATGTTGTCCTATTTAATTCGAAAGGTTTTTCTGGCTGACCTCCGTTCACAATCACCAACTTGAATGGAAATCTTAGTCTGTCTATTGATAAATAGTACCACAATGTACGACCGACGTTCCGTTGTTCACTCACCTCAGCCTAAGTCGTTACCACTGAGATATGCTTGGAGAAAATGATTCCCTGTAGGCCCGAGATATTGATATTGGTTAGTCACTAGCTAGTAACTGATTTTATGCTTATCTAGTCTCTAGTGCTAATCAAATACTATCTGTCAAGTTGCAGTTGGACTAGTAGTCTAGGGGCCCTACATCATGTTCACTTTGTTTTGGTATTGACCATGTGGTGATGTTTCAAATTGCACATCTGAGTGATATGGATTATAACGCCACGGTATGCGCGAATCCCTTCAAGATTGAAGAGACTCGTTGCTGACAAGTGCCTTTTAGTACTAACCCTAGGTTAAGGGTATCTTACCAACAACTTCAATCAATTTAACATCAAAATATGGTGCACATGATGTTGACCCACTTAGATTACTGACCACATCACAACTTAGTAGATGGGATTCAAATGGTATCAAGGACTAGCACATTTATGTTTAGTGGTCAATGATCAATAGATCAACTGACAAGCATTTTCTCGTAGATTAAGACTTGTTAATAATTCATGTCTTCAAAATAAGCATGAGACCGGAACTAATTCTTTGTAGCAGCACCTAACGGTCTTAGATTTGATTGCTAAAAAAAGTTATTTGGGAAGTGGTTTTAATAATAATAATAAAAGTTTTATGACTCCAAATCATCCAGGTATTCGATGTTTTAAGACCAACGAACTGATACTAATAAATTATTACCAAAATGAAAAACGACTATTATTGCTTTTAATCTGCACTAGGTAAAGACTGTATGTTGCGAAACACTTGATTTACAATTTATCGACGTAAAATTATGATTATTTAAAAAAAAACATGTAGCCATCAATATCAGCAACGTAGCTGACTTCAGGCATAATGAATACACGACTTTTAAAAACCATTTAAAAGCCAAACGTAAACTGAGACTTTTTGTCACGTTAAGGGATTCATTTACAAGTATTTTGAACTCATTATTTGTTTTAAGTGATATATACATGAATTAATAGATTATTACATGTGGTTGAAACAACTCATTTAAATTTAATAGACCATAGAAGCAATCAATACTTCAGGAGCATTTACTTTGTATTAAAATCTTTGTTTCATCTATTTTCTAAGATGTAATATCAGTTTGTTGCTTTGTACAACATAAACTACACAAATTAAAAAAAACAATGCTGGGCAATTTATTTTCATCAACAACCAATCAACATCAAAGTCAATAGAATAAACTGTTATTCATGTGCACAGAGTCTCCAATAGCTCATTTGTATGTAAAGTTTGTTGTGATAAAGCCATCCAGAAAAAAAATGGTTAAACCACTGTTCTCAGAGAATACAACCTTATTGAAACCACCCTTCTAAACTACAAACCTTTTCCATGATTATGGTTTAGAAATAAATGTAAAATAAGTGTATCGGTGTTAGACTGTAACTACACACTTGTTCAACAAATCTCCATCGCTTCTGTTTTTTAATCATTTGAACATATCAACTAATTAACATACTTTTGATCTTCAATTTGATAAGGAAAAGAACTCACTTATTTGTTTCTTTTAAAATAGGATTTTTCATTGAGACGATTGTTTTATGCCCATTTATTTATTCCATGGATTGATCACGGTGTAGGTCTCTATAACTAGATGTTTTAATTTCAATTATTTCATTTCTCATGAGCTTTTCTAATCAATAGCTGTAGTTGTCTTTAACGAATACTTTGACTCAGTAATAATATCCAATGTCTGCAAAATTGTTACTAATTTAATGACATATATATGTTCTTTAGTTTATTGTTCCATGGTTTTGTTTAGTAGTAATCCATAGTGGTTAAAATATTACCCAAGACTTCACAGATAACTTATTTATTTGGTTTATACTTGAAGTAAGTTAACCGATGCAAAGAGAGCATGTATTTTAATGTTAGAGAAAAGTGATCGCTAGAAAACGCTGAAATTAAGTTTCGTGCAATTTGGTGCTTGTCGGCAAGCCGTTTCTCCGATGTATTAAGAACTGATACTTCTTGTAGAATTCGAACTCCAACCACTCACTATCAAGGTTAAAGACTTTACCACTGAGCTTTCGGGGCTTTGACTGACTTCCTATAAAACTGGGATACTCACATTGATTGACAGCCGGAAAAGTGCGATTGTCATGCTTATCTAGTCTTTAGTGTTGATCGACCAGTAACATTAGGGTTACAGATGAGCATTATTGACAAGTCCTAACTACCAGAAACCGTAGATATAAAGCTTGTTGCTAATCGCCACTAATCATCCAACATTGAAATAATATTGCTTCCGACGTTCAATAACTCGGACTACTAACTGCATTGTACCATATTTGGAAGAACTTGATTTGGACTCAAGGTTAGATCAACATATCATTAACTACTCTTAAGTGATCAATACTTGCAAAATATGCGTTTCTTATAGATGACATGATGCGCTTAGCTAACACATATGCAGAATTCTAAGTATATAACACTCAATGACAATTTAGCCTAAATTAAAATCTAACAGCTACCAATGCTTTCTTATTTATATATATCGTAATTTGCTAAACTTAGTACAACGCCACCGCTAATGTGAACCAATGTTTTATTTCAGTTAATTATATACTAACTTATATTTAACTTGAAACCGCTTTTACAGAAACATTATTTGGTAAGTGATTATTCGCTGAATTGTACATGTATTGTTTACCTAATATAGTGTTACATTGTTCACCTGGTGCCACAGTGAATGGTTTCTCCCTGAAAAACAACGGGTTATTTTATTCTACTAACAATCATTGTTTAAATAATTAACATTTCATTTCTCAAGTTATTTTCTTTACTTACTTGGATATTTTGTGAAAAGATGTGAATAGATTTAACTGCGAATTGATATCAGGTAGAAGAACCATTAAAAACTAGGAAGCATTAGACAGAAGTCATTGATTGATTTGATACTCTTCAGTTGTAGGAATCAATAACTCCACAAGGGATCAAGTCTAGCAACTTCAAGGTTTGTGGTAAGATAGTTATAATCAGCATAGAGCTCAGCACGTATTTGAGTTAGCCCGAGGCGCTATACTAAATGGGGATAGTGAGACTAAATAAATACGATAAATACCAGGTTAAGTTGAGATAATCATGGTAGCACTTGTGATGAGATCATTTAAGCAATGATAATATGGTTCGTGAAGGAGGATAGGAAGGCAAGTATAAAGGAATAATGGAATAGTTAAAACTCGGCACTTGTACCATAGTGACAGATTATCAGTCATGTCAGCCAGCGTCTCCAGCCGCTGACTATGATTATCGCCCGAACTGCAACACGATAATCTACACCTGACAAGTGACTCAGTTCATTGGTCAGTGATTTCATAAACTGTTACACTGGCTTCGTTTGGCTACCCTTAGCTTTCTTCCAGTTAACTTCTGCTCCAGATAATAATACATTCAAAGATAGTCTGAGGTTAGTCATACGTAACAAATATCAATAAAACCTCAATCGATAGAGATTTACATTTTCACCGACTGATATGTCCCATTTACCTATTGCTCTGTGTCCAACCATCACATCGCTCGCTCGATAATCTCAATATGCTCGAATAATGCTCCGAAAACACTTATGACCATATACATATATCTTATGCACCCATAGATTATTCAAACAAGCATGATACCATTAGGTTACTAAGAATGAATTTCAAACTAAAATGAAATAATCTACACGGCTACCTCATTTCAATAACACTTCAATTGATGTTAATTCCCAACGGAAACTACGATTTTACATCTGACGGCCATTAAACCACTTTTAAACTCCTTGAAAATTTATTGACATGGTATAAAGTGACATTTCATGAGACGCCTTAATTTAATTAAAAACAATCAGAAGTTGACTTTTTTTAATCTGTCTGCTATAGATGATATGAAAGAACTAAAACGTGTTTTCAGTTTATTTATTTGATTATTATGGCGGCACTTGAGCATAGCTGGACCACTAAGCGACTTAGAATACGCAGATGACATAGTCCTGTTTGGTGAAGACGCTGACAAAATGCAGAGTCTTCTGTTGGAACTCAGTAATAATGCCAGGATGTTTGGGATGCGTTTCTCCCCATCCAAATGTAAATTGTTACTCCAGGACTGGTCTGCGTCAACACCTGAACTAAGGATAGGGAGTGAAGTAGTCGAACGCATGGACAACTTCATTTATCTTGGAAGTCTGATCAGTCTTAATGGGTTGGTGTCTGACGAAATCTCAGCACGGATTCAAAAACCTCGTTTGGCTTTTGCCAACCTACGTCACCTATGGCGAAGACGAGATATCCGTCTATCAATTAAGGGATGAGTATACTGCACAGCAGTTCGCTCTGTTCTACTTTACGGCTGTGAAACATGGCCAATGAGAGTAGAAGATACACGTAAGTTACTAATATTTGACCACAGACGCCTTAGAAATATTGCTCGCATCTGCTGGGATCACTGGGTAAGTAACACGGTGGTCAGACACACGGTATTAGGGAATGATGTTAAATCAGTTGA